CACACACACACACACACATACACACACAAAAAAAAGACCCCCCACCCAAGCTACTACAATTTTGGGATGCACCTAGTAGTATGACACTTAGGATTAAAGACTTCTGAGTTCTGGTGCATTTGTGCGTGCAGGGGTCATTATGTGACCGCTATGACTGCTATGCGGTATCTAGTTTTTATTTAATTTATCTTAGAATTCAATCAGCATCTCCATCCTCCTTTAAATTTTTAAATGATTCATCCTTTAAGTGCAGATTTATTTTGTCAATATTAATATTTAATAATATTAATTAACAGAAATCATCTATTTAAAACAAATGACCATTTATTTCATAAATCAGACATATTATTATGACTACTTTGATTACCTGTCGATGGGCATGGTCTACCTGGCTTAAAAAAACTGGTTAGCAGGAGAAATGAAGCAACTTTAACCAGAACCAGCCTATGTTGGTTGGACAGCTGGGTCAGAATTTCTCCACAGCTGCTGCTCTGAGAAGTCAAATCAACTAAAACTGGTCCAACTAAGAAGAACCAGAGACAGGGTTGTGGAGGACCAAGGGTCATTGAGCAATGAAGGCTGACCTGTGTTCTGATCCAATCAAAGAGCTGATGGTTCAGATAGAAAGGTGTCATAACCTACAGAGCGTCTCAGTTTGTTGTGTTTGGGTCTGCATAGCTGCAGATATCAAGGTGTCTATTCTAATCCGGGTCCCCCACCCAAAGCTCTTATAATAGATCAGTACTGAACCATTGACGAAGATGTTCTGGTCTGATGGATCACAAAGATGGTTGGATCCTTGTGCCTCTCTTACCTTGGAAAAATGTGGCACCAGGTGCATCATGGGAAGCAGTGGGGTGCTCCAGAATAACCAGATCTCATGCCAATCAGGCATATGTGCCATGTTCTGAACCATCCTGAACATCCTTTTGAAACTGATACATGATCAAATAAAAATAATAATTAATTTTTTCCTCTTCTTGCAGTTGTTGAACCAGCTTCTAACCTCAGAGTCCTGGAAGTGGCCTCTAAGTCCATACAAGTGAGCTGGGTCTCCTCCATCGGGGACGTTTCAGGGTACAGAGTGCACCTGATCCCCATGATGACCGGCAGCAGGAGTCAGGACCTGTATGTGGGCTCAACGCAGACCTCAGTGGTGGTCAAAGACCTTTCTCCTGACACAGAGTACCAAATTAACGTTTTTGCTTTGAAAGACCTGATGACCAGTGAGCCCATCACAGTCCTGCAGAAGACGGAACCGGTCAAAGTCTCAGTAGGTGAGTTCAAAATGTTGAGTTCAACAGATTTCTACAACTGATTCAGGTCTTTTAGGGACCTTCATAGAACAGTAAACTTGTTGCAACTAAAATGGCTTTAAGGCAACCGAGTGAAATAAATATGTATGTAAATGAATATTTTGTCTAGCTGAATGTTTATGTGACTATTTAGGTATCATGTCTAACACAAGGTAATTTTTAAAATGGTCTGAGATTTTGAAAATAAATTCTAATAAACAACTCTGGTATTGAGCCAGTACAAGGTTTAGACTCCGTTTTGCTCCTAAAATAACTTTAACCATTTCCATGTGTTTTACGTGAAGCGTTAATAAATCCTTGTGTTTGTGTTTTTGGTTTGACATTCAGAGTGTTCTCTTGGTGTGGACGTGCAGGCCGATGTTGTGCTCCTGGTGGATGGATCCTATAGCATTGGTGTGTCAAACTTTGCTAAAGTAAGAGCCTTCCTTGAAGTTTTAGTGAACACCTTTGACATTGGCCCAAACAAGGTCCAGATGGCCTTGGTTCAGTACAGCAGGGACTCTCACACTGAGTTTTACCTGAACACTCACCAAGATGTGAACGCCGTGGTCAAGGCTGTGAGGACTTTCCCATATCGTGGTGGATCCACCAACACCGGCAGGGCCATGACTTTTGTCAGGGAGAAAATCTTCCAGACCAACAACGGGGCACGTTCTAACATTCCCCGTGTGACCATCCTGATCACTGACGGAAAGTCATCCGATGCTTTCAAAGAGCCGGCCACCAGGTTGAGGAGCGCTGATGTGGAGATCTTTGCTGTGGGCGTTAAAGATGCTGTACGAAGTGAGCTCGAGGCGATTGCCAACACCCCTGCAGAGACCCATGTGTACACTGTCGAAGACTTTGATGCCTTTCAGAGAATATCCAAAGAACTCACACAGTCCATCTGCCTGAGGATTGAGCAGGAACTCCAAAGTATCGTCCAGAGACGTAAGTGTTGATATCTGATGTTGTCCTTTATGCTGATGATACTGTGGTGTATCAATATGCTCCTCTGTGACATCGTACAGCTTCAATCTTTTCTTTGCCAAGAATTCTTTTCCTTTGACTCCTCAGAGTCCCATCCCCATTTTGCCCAGTTAGGACTCCAACCAGTGTACTTAGAATTTTCCTTGTCAGGGCAATGAGAGCTTTCCCAAACCTTAGATTTGGGCCGTTTATTAGTTCTCGTACCTGTCTACAGTCCGTCAGCTCCCTCCAGAGGATTGAGTGTTGATGTCTGATCTAGGCCTGTAGGGCAGTCCTACAGACTGTTGTTGAGATACCTACAACAGGCTCTGGTTTTTTGAAGTGGGCCTGACTGCCAGCTTTTGCAAGGTAGTCATGTCTCTGGTTACCATAAATGCCAGTATATCCTGGTACCCATTTAACAGTAACACTGTTGTCTCCCCCCAGTTGGTTGACCGTTTCCGCACACTCTCAAGCCAGTAATGATGTAAAGTGTGGCCCTCGGAGAGCTTTAATAGCAGTTTGGCTATCTGTTAGGATGAATATTTTCTTCTGTGTACACTGAAGTTCTTTGAGAGATGCCACACACTGGTGGTTTGCAGATATCTCAGCTTGAGATACAGTTGAAAGAAACGTTGGACTCATGTCCATCGTAGAGAGGTTACTCCATTCAGACCTGTCTTCAGTTTCTGTCTTAAAACTTGGCTCAAATTATATTTTTTGATCATTGCATCTCCCGTTCCTGCTGTCACTGGAACAGTCCCAGATTCTAGTGTGCTGTGAGTCAGATCATTTTTTTCCACGTATTAGGTGTAACCTTACTGCACTTAAAAGATATATAAAAAACTTTTTTTTTTTCAAAATGTTTGGTGTGGACCTGTGTGGACAGGAGCTAAGGAGTTTTCAGGAACAAATTCTAATTAGTGCTCTAATTAGTACTCTAATTTTTCTGCCTTTAAATTCAGGATAATGTGGTTCTTCACATTTCTTCAGTCCTTAGCATCAAAGTTTAATTTGAGCAGAAAATGTTTCATAATGAATCGTCTCTTCACATTTATTGTGAAACAATGACTGAGAGCTGCTTTTTATTTTGTTTTTAGTTGGTTAATAAAAATGTTGGCAGGTTTTATGTAAAATCTGCATTTAAATGAGAACTTGTCAAACAAAGCATTCATCCATGATGTAAGATTAAGAGTTATTGAAGTTTTTATTAGACTAAAAAAACAAAATAATTGCAGTTAAATCCAAATTAAAAACAAGTCATTTACTTTTATC